TGTGTCCCCAAGTTGGGGATGGGGACAGTCCTGATGCCCAGGTGGCACCAGGATGGATTTGGGGATGGTCCTGGTCTCTGGGTGTCCCCAAGTTGGGGACAGGGATAGTCCTGCTGCCTAGGTAGCACCAGAGTGGACATGGGCACGGTCCTGTGGCCCAGGTGGCATCAGGGTGGACATGGGGACAGTCCTGATCTCTGGGTGTCCCCAGGTTGGGGATGGGGATGGTCCTGCTGTCAGGTGACACCAGGGTGGACGTGGGACAGTCCTGATGCCCAGGTGGCACCAGGATGGACATGGGGACAGTCCTGGTCTCTGGATGTCCCCAGCCTGGGGCTGGGGACAGTCCTGCTCCCCCATGTCCCCAGGCTGGGCACAGGGATGTCCCTGTTCCCTGAATGCCCCCAGGTTCCGTGTGGGGGTGACCGGTCCAGGTGTCCTCCAGCCGGACACAGGGACAATCCCCCGTGTGGGGCAGGACCCCAATGTCCCCGCTGTCCCCAATGTCCCTGTGTGGGGCAGGTCCCCAATGTGTCCTTGTCCCCATGTGGGACAGGTCCCCACTGTTCCCAATGTCCCCATGTGGGCCAGGTCCCCCAAGTCCTTGTCCCCATATGGGGCAGGTCTTTGCTGTCCCCGTCCCCATGTGTGGCAGGTCCCCAGTGTCTCCATGTGGGGGAGGTCCCCAATGTCCCCAGTGTCACCATATGAGGCTGGTCCCCAATGTCCTTGTCCCCCTGTGTGGCAGGTCCCCAGTGTCCCCAGTGTCACCGTATGGGGCTGGTCCCCAGTGTCCCCATGTGTGGCAGGTCCCCAATGTCCCCAGTGTCCCCATGTGGGCCAGGTCCCCAGTGTCTCCATATGGGGCAGGTCCCCAATGACACCAGTGTCTCCATATGGGGCAGGTCCCCAATGTCCTTGTCCCCATGTGTGGCAGGTCCCCAGTGTCCCCAGTGTCACCGTATGGGGCTGGTCCCCAGTGTCCCCATGTGGGGCAGGTCTCCCCCACCCTCTGCAAAGCGGGTTCTTGCCGTGTCATCGTCCCCCGCCTTGGGGACACGTTGGGGACCGGGTGGCCGGGCAGGTGGCGGGCGGCGCCGGTGCCGTTTATAGCCGGAGCCGGTGGGTGGGAGCTGGGCACAGGATCCGGCCTGGCACCCGGCCCAGCGTCACCGTCACCAGAGCTGCGGATGGGGTACGGTCCCTTGTCCCAGGGAGGTGGTGGTGGTGGGGGGGTTGTCCCATGTCCCTGGTGTCCCCAGGGATGTCCCTTGTCCCTGGGGAGATGGTCCCCAGGGATGGGGTCTCCTGTCCCCAGAGGGGGGACACTTGCCCCCAGGGTGGCCACTTGTCCCCAGGAATGTCCCTTTTCTCCAGGACCTGGTCCCCAGGGGATGGGGTCTCCTGTCCCCTGGGGATGTCCCTAAGGATGGCTCTGGTCCCTGGGGGGGGGTTCCTTGTCCCCTGGGATGTCTCATGTCCCCAGGGACATGGTCCCTGGTTGCAGGGGTTTTCTGTCCCTTTGTCCCCAAGGGAGTCCCTTGTCCCTTTCCCTGGGTCCTTACTGCTCTGGGGGTCCCTTGTCCCCTTAGTCCTTGGTGGTCCCCAAGGGGGGTGTCCCTCGTCCCCTGTCCCCAAGGAGCGTCCCTGCGGTGTCCCCTGTACCCAGCAGCATCCCTTATCCCCTTCCCACGATGGGTCCCTTGTCCCCTGTCCCTTGGGATGTCCCCCGGAAGACGTCCATTGTCCCCCACCTCAGGGGGATGCCCTGGGGGGGATGTCCCCTGGGAAGATGTCCCTTGTTCCCAGGGGGATGCCCTGGGGGGGGACAACCCTTGTCCCTTGGGATGTCCCCTGGGGGGGTTGTCCCTTGTCCCTACAGGAAAAGGGGGGGGTGCCCGCTCGCCAAGGTATTTTTAGCCGTGCCACCCCCGCCACGCTGGGTGCCGGTGACACAGTGACAGTGACGGCAGCCGGGAGCGGTGGCCGTGGGGACGGGGACGGGGACGGGGACGTGGCGGGGCCGCTGCTTACGCAGCCCCGGGGCTAAATATAGCGCCTGGGGGTGGCTCACCTGCACCGGCTGCTGAGTGCGAGGGGGGGGGCGGATGCCTGGGTCCCCCTGTTTTGGGGGGGCTGGATGCCTGGATCCCTTCTGGCTGGGGGGCCCAGATGCCTAGGACCCCTGTTTTGGAGGGGCTGGACACCTGGGTCCCCTGTTTTGGGGGGGC